TGACAGACTTTGTATCCAAACGCAAGGTGGTAGCAAATGAGGAATGATATCTGGCTTCCACAAGATTGCATGTACACATGGATGTACACCTGTACACACACACACACACCACCACCACCACCACCTGCAGCAGCAGCAACAACAACAACAAAAACAACAAAGTTTACTAACGAAACAGACCATTCTAATGTCCTTCATATACTTGGCCTTAATACACAGTGGGTATGTATTTCTAGCTACTTCATATTGATTATAAATAGGCAAGGAAAAAGAACAGCAACATTACCAGCAGAAACCATGTCACAGAGTGGAATAAAATGTCCAAAGAGGTTGTGAAGTGGACAATGTTCGACCCCTGGAGAAACTCATCCTTGTAAACAGTGAGAAGTACTAAAGAAATTTAAGCAAAGGGGAAAATGCATTTCTCAAAGACTGGCAAACTGCAAAGCCTGCAAGAGGAATGATAAAATATACCTAACTTATTGCAAGAGGAAAATAAATTGTCATAACACTTATGAAGACAACTGTACAACCTACTAAAGCTAGAGACATATGCATTCTACAATCTACTATTACTTCTATTGTCTTTTAAACTCGTATACATGCAAGAGGAGAGAAGAACAAGGATAGTTACTAGAGAATGTTTACAGAATTGAAAAGCTGGAAACAGTGCGCATTATCAACAGGAATAAATGATTATATAATGTCGCAGCAGTGCACTGTATTTCCATTCAAGTGCAATAAATAAATCTGTATGCTTGTGGATAAAGCTCAAAGAGAGACTTATCAAAGCAGGCAAGTTACTGAGGATCCCAATGGCAGACTACTTTCATATAAAGTTAATCACATTGTATTTTTTGACTCGTGGATGATAATAAAACAAAATTGATGACAGCTGTTACTTTTGAGCAAAATATAATTAAAAAATAACAATGAAAATAGCAACAGGGTCATCAATGTTTATTTTAAAATCTAGAAGTACGAATCCAAGGAAACAAAGCATTGAGACTTGACCAGCATGGGTAACGGGCATGGAGAAATTCACCACATTCCCCCTCATTTTCCATGAAGGTTGTAAAGTAGCAGTGTGGATAATGGAACATAGTGGGGTGGGGGTGGGACAGAAACAAGGAGTGTAATTAAAAAAAATCCTTTAAAATCAGTAAGAAGCAATGGCAATGCAGACGGAAGGAAAGCGGCAGGAGAAAAGCCGAAAATAAACCAGCAAAACCAGGAGGCAGAGCAAATACGAGAAGAACAATGGGAACATCCGGGGCTCAGTCTAATTCTTCCTAAATATTAGAAAGCAAAAGGGGTTTTTACAAGAGTTCCTGTATGAGAGAGCCTGTTCAGTGTCCCAATGGAGAGGCACAGCACAGACTAGACAAGGTCGATGGCAGCACAGGCTTTGGATAAGGCATCCCATCAAATATGGATCCCAAACACAAAAACACAATTATTCAACATTCAAATTCTTAGTTTCCATATTTATATAAAAAATGGTTAATAAAAAAACTCTTTCCATAGTGGTTTATGAGAATCAATTAGATAATCCTTGTCAGGTTCTGAGCAAAAAACCTAAGAGGGACTAACTGTTCAATAAATGACCAGCTTGATTTACAGCTTACTTTTCACTCCTAAGACACTGTTACTTTAGTTGATATCCAAACTGTAACCTGAACGTACTAGACTTGAGTTATAGGCTCACTTTCTGTATAATTCTACAAAAGGCACATATTTTAGTAGAAAGTATGTAAGTTATATGACAAGTCCATAGGGGTTCTGGTAATAATTAAGGCAAAAATAGAACTAATCCAAATTATAGTTTATATTTTGCTAGCAAGTATATAATACTAAATACATAACATAATAACATAATGCTAAAATAGGAGACATATATAAACAAAATTGCAATTAGGGCACTAAGAAGGTGATATAAGCCGAAGATATCTGCTGTGACAGATAGGGACTTCTTAAAGACAAGGCACTATCTATCTACTTACTTTTCTGAGACAGGGTCTCAGGGAACCTGGAGCTGCTTGCCCATTTTGGTTTGAATGGCTGGCCAGCAAGCCCCCAAGAACTACCTGTCTCTGCTTAGAAGCTTCCTACATTTTTAGGGTAACAGACATATGCTGTGATCATACTCAGTTTTTACAGAGGTGCTGAGGATCAAAAATCGGGTCGTTATGCTTGCTCATCAAGAAATTTTACCTTTGAGCTATTTCCCCAGCTCTGTTCTAGAAGTTTCTGATCTATGATCGGTTGAATTCAGCTACAAAAGTCAGGAAAATCAAGGGCTGGTCACACACAGCACTTATTAAATGTCACAAGCTCTAATGCATTAGCAGCACCAGCCTTCCTGGTCTGTTAGCATGATAGTGCAAACAACTCTGAAAAGAAGCATAAGCCATAAACTGAGAACTTCACCAAGACTCATCAGCGGCAAGTCAGGCACATTGAAACATGGAAGCTCAGCCTCACTTTGGTATTAGTCAAGAGGAATTTACTGGTTTGGGTCTAAAACTGTCTCTCTAAGGCTTCCACATGGGGGTTTGATTGACAGCTTTGATGGGGAAGCTCAGCCAATCACATCTGGCTTGGATGTGGCCACCTGGTGCCAGGTAGATAGGTGCGCGGGCTCTCTATGCAGGTGCTCGCCTGACCCGTTTGGACTTTGGACCTTTTACTCGGGTCGCGAGTTTCCCCGTTTTTCAAATATTAAATTATATCTGTTGTTTTGAGCTGGTCTGGTTATTTTAGCGTATCGATCGAATACGCATTCACTTACACAGCTTATAGTCTTTTGAGAGGTGATAGGCTCGTAAAGGCTTCTAACTTTACAATGGATACAATTATTAATTCATAGCTGAATACACTATTAGAGGTTAAGGCCTGGTTGGAAGAAGTTGGTTTGAGAAAGTGGGGATTCTCTGAAAGGAACAGCTTACACTGGGCTTTTCCTAAAATGAGTCTACTAGGCTCCCTTGTTGCCACAATGCTCCTGACAACAGATCCAAAGAAGGGGCTCAGTGCACAAAATCTGAAACCTCTGCAACTAAGAGCCCAAATATTCTTGAAGCTGTTTTTATTGGAAAGTGCCTTACACAAATACCTTGAATTAAAATCATCGTAGGATTAAATGCTTCTGATAAAGAGATTAAAATGCAGCCACCAAAAATACTAAATTAAATGAAAAGAAGCAGCGCTTCCTTTTATCAGTCAGATGACATGTGAACAAAGTTAATCTATCACTCACGTTTTTATCAGTCAGATGATATGTGAACAAAGCTAATCTATCACTCACGTTTTTATCAGTCAGATGACTTGTGAACAAAGTTAATCTATCACTCACGTTTTTATCATTCAGATGACTTGTGAACAAAGTTAATCTATCACTCACGTTTTTCATGAGGATATTACATTACAAGCTTACGCATATGTGTATGTGCGTATAAGTTTTATATCTCAAGCAAACACTTTGAAGAAAACTCAAATCTCACCTATCTAAAAACAATTAGTCTCTTTTACAATTTCCCCCAAGCATTTAAAAGAGAATCATTGGAAAGCTTGTCCTCTCCACATTATGATTCCAAATGAACACGACCCTGGTCATATTTTATTACTATCTACTGTTCCAAAACCAAACTAAAAATTCTTTGGGGACAGTATATGAGACAATTACCAAAATTTGCTTTATATTTGATCTTAAAGCAATACACCTAAGCTTAAGATACATTTTGTCTTAGTGACTACCTTAGTTACTCTTTTGTTCTTCCTATGTCATTTGATAATAGCTGAATTCCAAGAAAATTTCTAAATATAAATAAAATGCCATATATATTCAAGCAAAAAAACAAATTGTATCGCTCCCTTAAAAGGCAAAGAAAATTTTACCTGAAATGTTAACATAAAGAATCATCAGCCAGTCTTTCTTTCTTTCCTGCCCTCTCTCTCCTCCCTCCCTTTCTCCTACCCCCATTAAGTAACATGGATTGAAGCCAGAGCCCTATGAAAAGCCAAGTGCTTTACCCCCATACTCTGTTCCTGACCCCATAAAACAGTCTTAGAGGAAAACAATGTTTTCAGCTAACAAATATTTTGTAGTATTTGCATATAATCAGATCTTCCCTGATATTTTAAATCTTCTTTAGATTATGTATAATGTGTACAACAAATGTTGTAACAATTTCAACATGTTTTTAGGAAAGATTGACAAGGAAAAAAGTCAAAACATGTTTAATACAAATGTAATGTTGCTTTCAATGCACAGTTGGTTGAACCCATGGATGCAGAATCCATAAATACAGGACATGTATACTCCTAAGTATTCCCTTAGGACTCACATAAATACCCTCAATAATCTTTTATTATGTTTCTAAATCAATTTATTTAAAACTTTCTGATGCTAACCTTTCAATTATCATATTAGAAGTCTCCCAACATTATGGTGATTTAACTGCTGTCTGTTTAGTATACATATAAATTCTCCTAGTCCACAGGATTTAACATATAAAAATGCCAAGGAATGACTGGAATATATAGGAAATCACTTAAATGTCAGACCCCTCCCAAACCTCAGAACTATTAAAACAACAAATCTTGTTTCTAATCTTTAAATATAAAAGACATTATCTATTAAGGTGATTTTTAATCCAAAGTATTTCATGACTATCCACATAAAAATATATATTATTCCTTTAGAGAAAATGATAAATGTATAAAAAATTAATTTTTCGGCCGGGCGGTGGTGGCGCACGCCTTTAATCCCAGCACTTGGGAGGCGGAGGCAGAGGCAGGCGGATTTCTNAAAAAAAAAAAAAAAAATTAATTTTTCATTGTGTTTCAATACCAGTTCCACAGATGGATTTAACTATCAATTACATGTCTGTGGCTGAGAGTCACAGGATGTATCTGTCACTCAACTCCCACCTGTTGGGTGTATCCACCCACGTTCATCCCCAATAACATGCTAAATCTTTCTGATAGTAAAAACTTACCTTTGAGGTTCTTTGAAGCTGATCACCAACATATGTTTTACGAAACTGATCCAAAAACCAGAGAATTGCAAGCTCAATTTTTTCATTGGCGCGGCGAGGCAATCTGGTATCCATTAAAGATATAAGCTGAAAAACGCTTTCCATGAAGAAAAAAAGAAGCTTTAATACAAATTCTCAAAGAAACAATACTGAGATATTTATTACAAACATATAATCACTCTAAAAAGCGAAAAAATATAAAAGCATGTCCAGAAAACATTACTTAAACCATCAGAAATCCTGCCTCTATAACACACAACTGGTCTAGATCCTTCAAGTCTTTATATATGAATATGAAACTCCCATAGGCAAGCATATATCCTACTAAAGGTTACATGTAGATGTATGACACACACACATATATACACACAGACATAAAAGTAAACATTCTTGTGTTTTTAGTAAAAGGATATTAAATGTATTCTTATATTCATTTTTCATTTCTAAACATGTCAAAATAATGACTTAATTCTTTAAAATTAAGAATCGTATCTATGAAGTGACATTCAGTACTCTACTAATGAACCATTAAAATTTTACCTAAAACACGATAACACTAATAAAAAATTTTTAAGAAAATCAAGCTGTGTGTGCAAAAGATACAGTGATAGAGTTTGAACCTAAGTCTTTGTACATACTAGACAAACATTCCACAATTTACAGTCCCCCTTTTTGCTTTGCATTTTGAAGCAGTCTTACTAAGTTGCCCAAGTTGGTTTGAATTCACTCTGTTGCCTAATCAGGCCTCGAACTTGTGACCTTCCTGAGTAGTTAGGATTATAGAATTGTATTACCAGGCTCACTTCGACCATTTTCAACATCAAATTATTAATAACTATTACTAATTATTACAAAAATGATAATTTTCATTATTATTTTAAATATTATTATCAGCTAATTATAAGTGAAAGGAAGATTAGGGCAAATTTTTTAACTCTTACTTCTATATAATATAATATATAATCCTCAGAATTGCATTTTCAATGAAAACATCCTTGGACACTACATATATTTTATGAAAATTTCCTGGTGGGAGATTGTTAAGTACCTTGCATTAACAACAATACATTATATCAGTGGGGGGGGAGGGGTAGTACTTGGTTTGGCGTGGTTGTGGCAGGTTCCACTGTAGAGCCTAAACTGGCTTTATACTCACAGCAATCCTACCTCAGCCTCCTAAGTGCAAGGACTATAGATGTTCATTACCAAGTCCAGCCTAGTAAAGTATATGAATATTTATTTTTAGAAGATGAAATGATTGAGGCCTTGCCTAGCCCTGATCCATGTTGTTCATTCTATGTAGGCAATGCACTCGACTACATAAAAATTCATTTTATACATATACACCTACACAAAGATACATGTAATATTCATCCCCAGACTCAACTTACTGTCCTACATCTATATTACATTTTACAAAAATTTTAGCAAAAAGTATGGAAGGACTTAAGTAAGTTCAAATAACTTCATTAAGAAAGTCACCTCTCTAAATAATTTTTGGTTGTTTGTTTTATTGAGATATGGTCTCACTCTGTAGCCCTGGCTGGCCTGGAACTCACTATACAGAATCGTCTGGAACTTACAGAGATCCATTTGTCTCTGCCTCTTGAATGCAGATTAAAGGTATATGCTATCAGACCAGGCATTCATTAAAAAACTTAAATCCAAGTTTTTCCAAGAAATAGATTCTAGAAAATTGTTCTGGATTAAATTGGGAACCCAATTTAATAAGTATGCATTAAACCAATAAGAATTATGTTAAATACAAAAATTAGAAAGGTACAGATATAGCCACATCCTACAGAAATTCACAAATAATAATAATGAATGCCAAGTTGTATAGTATAAGAAATGCTATAAAAAAAATGAACAAGAATTCCTTTTATCCTGGAATATAACAGAGTAAGGAAAAAATATAAAAAGAGGACGTAGACATTCAGAAAGAGAACAAAAAATTGCTCATTTAAGTATTTTTAAGCTGAGGCTGAAAAGATGGCTCAGTAGTTAAAAACACTAACTTCTCTTCCAGAGGAGCTAGGTTCTATTTCTAGCACCCACGTGGCAGCAACTGTCTATAAGTTCAGTTCTAGGAAAGTCAGTCACCTGCTGGTCCCCAAAGGCACCAGAGATGTATGAAGACAAAACACCCATAAGCAAAATAAAAGTTTTAGAATTTTTAAAAAGTGTTCTATATAGGTATGTAACAATCAGAGGCAAGAGACAAAAGTAATAAGAAAGGCAGGAAGTTGGGCATGGTGGTTCAACCCTTTAGGCCCAGCCCTTGGAAGGCTGAGGCAGGCAAATCTTTGTGAGTTCAAGGCTAGCCTAGTCTAGAGTTACTTAGAGAAATCCTGTCTCCAAAAACAAAAAAGAAAGAAGGAGAAAGAGAAAGAGGGAAAGAGGCAGGCAAGCAAGCACATATGTTCCAGATCAGGTCAGGTAGGGCCAAAGAAATCATGCTGATAACAACAGCAACAACAATCCATGAAAAGAATCCAAAGCATGAAATGCAACAGAGGTTACCTTTATTCTGAGGGGAGAACTGTCAGCAGGAAGGTGTAAAAGGGCAGAGCAATAAAGCCTTTGGCATGGAGAACTACAGTCCAAGGAAGCATTATCAGCAGCAACACCCTGCCAATAATTGCAAATGGGCAAATGGACAGCCACCAGTGATGGCCAGCTATTAATATAAAACTTTTCAGAAAACAGGAGAGAAGGCCTTCACTCTACCCAGTCACCTCTGTGAACAATCTCCTGACACCAGGCGGGGAGAAAAGGACAAAGCTAAGAGAGATACAGAAAAGCCAGAAATGTTTTCACTAATAGATGCCAAACCGAGAGCAGACAGACTGCCAAAGAGGAACTGGACAACGTGTCACTGTGGGGAACACACCTGCCCTTGTGCTCCGAATGCTAGCACACTCCTTATCCTTGTGCCCCAAACTACCTCAATCTGGGGAAGCCGCTTTTGTGCAAGAAGACCCTCAGGAAGACACTGTTGAGTTCTCAGGGAAGCCAGATGCTCCAAAAGCTCTGGACAGACATGGAGGCCTACTCCTGCTAACCACTGAATGAGTGGTCACTCTGACGTCTACCATCTGGCTCTTCTGAACTTGAGTGTTCTGTGTTCTGGAAGATACTCTGAACAGAGAAGCAGCAGGAAGACCAGATGGACCCCAACATCACAGGCCCATAAAAGGGAAAAGTGGTTATGGAGACCGCTCATCGGGAGCACCAGATCATGCCAATGACACAGAGGCTGCTGTGGCTCCAAGAACAGCACAGAACAGATGAACAACAAAGAGGTACAAAACCTCAAACAACTGGAGTTTAGGTCAAATGGAGAGCTCGGAAGAAATGTGACATGAACAAGAAGAAGTTTTGTAGTGGACAGCAGTACGGATTTTAGCAAACCTCTGCTGTGGGATAATGGTCTGTACCCTGTCACTTGTATTTTAGTAAAACGCTGATTGGCCAGTAGCGAGGCAGGAAGTACAGGTGGGGCGGACAGACGGACCAACGCAATGAGGGCGTCTCAGCTGGCGGCAGGCGACTCTGGCCTGACAGGCACACACACTCACTCACACACACACACTCACTCACACACACACACACACACACACCTGCCCATTGTGGTGGCTTGAAAGAAAATGGCCCCCAGAGGGAATGGCAATATTAAGAGCTGTGGCCTTGTAGTTGGAGTAGGTGTGACCTTGTTGGAGAAGTGGGTCACTATAGAGGTGGGGCTTTGAGGTCTTATATATGCTCAAGATACTGGCTAGTATTTCAGAACAACTGCAAGATGTAGGACACTTAGCTCCTTCTCCAGCACCATGTCTGCCTGCACACTGCCATGTTCCACCATGATGGTATTAACTAACCTGTGAAACTGTAAGTGAGCCACCCCAATTAAATGTTTTCCTTTATAAAAGTTGCTGTGGTCATGGTGTCTCTTCACAGCCACAAAAATCCTAACCAAGACACCCACACATTACTCCCATCCCACCCCCCCACAGAGAGATAGACAGAGAGAGAGAGAGAGAATCTATTTAAGAATAATGTAACAACTAAATATTATTTTTAAAGATTTTACTGGAATAATAAATAGTATTGTAACAACAGACTACTTCTGGGTCAATGGAAACATGAAAGACCTAAGAAAAGATATAAGAATTCTGTATGAGTGGCATTCTAAGCCATTAAAATATAGAGTTGGCCTTGGTTAATAGTTTGAATAGTAAAATTTTGAGAACTTTAATATAAACTGATTTATTATAAGTAAGTTTAAAAAGATAATCACAAAAAAGTAAGGTGGGGACCAAGGAGACAGTTTAGCGGCAAAGGGCTTATTGTGCAAGTGAGAAGACTAGAATTGGAATCCCCAGAACCCATAAAAACATGTGAGCAGGTATAGTGGCCAGCTGTAACCCTCACACCCAGGAGGTAGGAAAAGGTGATCCCTGTGGAAAACTGGCTGGCCAGACAAACTAAAATTAATGACAGATCTTACTGCAGTAAGTAATCGGAGAGTGACAGAAGACAGCCCCTAATGCCTTTTGGGCCTCCACATGTACACATCTGTACCATAGCCACTCACAGGAATGAGCATACACACATACATATACTACATATGCAAAAAAGAAGGGTATATGATACATATAAATACCAATAATAAAAAAATAAAATCATAAAAATTAGAATTAAAAAAATGCTAAATGCCATACAGAATCAAATAAATACAAGTTAACCTAAGATATTTGTTATACTAACCTATAAACTATAATAATCTTAGAGAAATGGTGACATCGACAGGCTTTGGGTTTGGAAGATAAATTGGTATATTTGAGTATCTAAGTATTTCAGATTTCAGGGCTTTTAGATTTTAGAGTATTTTCTAGTTAGGTTGGACTTTAGTTCCAGATTTTAAAGCACTGTGGATTTTAGGCATTCAGATTAAGGATGCTGAATCTTACCAGAGGCCAACTGGTAATACTTACTATGAGTCCTTAAACTGCTATAGACACTTTGATGATCTAGTCAGCTTTAAGAAATTAAGTCTAATGAAATTCTTTCAATCTATAAAAACCAATTTTTGCTTGGAGGCAATTTATAATAAAGAAAAATTGAAAATCAACATAAAATTGGAAAATCAACTTTAAATCCATAGTATAGTTCAGGTTACTTAACTTTTAAATTAAATGTCCACAAATTGTGCTTTATTTAACAGGTATGTGTTTGTAATCCATCAATATTTACCAGACATTGTTCTAAGCATTAGAAAGTTAACTCATCTGAATGCCTTTAGTAGCCCTAGATTAGATATTGTTTCCATTTTTCTTGTTACAAAACTACGCCGTAGTATTTTCTGCTTTTAAAACAGTTGCAAACACACATGCACGGTATGCACACCCCACACATCCACACTACCCAAAGGCTCTTTACAATAGCACTCTAAACATCTGCATGGTCTTTATTTTCATTGGAATTTTAAGTTTTCACCAAAACAAGACCAAACAAAAATTAAGTGACTGTGCAGGAAATATGATATTTGATCAAGATCTGTGAAGCAAGCTGCTAACATTATTCACAAGAATGTCCCTCAATTTAGAAGTGTTGAGAGTCATCCAATAACTTATTAAGGCTCTGATCACTAGCACTAGGGGGTAAAAATCAAGTAAATTTGAACCTATTTGTTGAAGAATCAATCTCTGTGTGCTGTTTTTTGTTGTTGTTTTTTTTTAATGAGTAAAAAGGGAACTAACACCCAAAGACCAAGGGTATCTCTTTATACTAGGCCATATAAAGGTAATTCAAAGTCTAAATTTCTTAACTCTAGTAAATAGCTGTTACTCACCGGCAGGATAATTCTCCATCCATGGCATCGTGCTCATCTGTACTGGTATACGTTAATCTTCCCCCTACAACTGTGCCAACTAAGTATATCAGCCATGCAAGACGTCCTTACAAGAAAGAAAAAAGATGACAAGTATCAATATAAAGAAGTTTATTTTTCAGAAAACCCAAAGTGAGCAAAATCATGTCTTCTAAACAAATAATTAACTATTACAAAGTTGGTTTTCAACAGACAGTAGAACACTGGGATTCATGTTTATCAAAGCACTGATATTAGCAGGTCTTCCAGCAAGGAAAAAAAATGTATGTATGAATCCCAGTTCTGCCAATCTGTTTCAATTTATGAGTTACCTCTTTAAGTCTTAAGGTTTTCATTTGCAAATGGGGAAAAGTAAGATGTGATTAAAGTTAAATTTAACATATCTGGTCATGGTGATACACACCTTTAATCCCAGCATGAGGGAGGCAAAGGCAGGTAGATCTCTGAGTTGAGGCCAGCCTGGTCTACTTAGTGAGTTCCAACAGAGTTACAGAATAGAGAAACTCAGTCTCAAAAAGCAAATAACAAAAATAAATAATAAATAAATAAATAAATAAATGTGTTGTGCATGGCCAGTCCTGTTATCCTGTCAAAAAGCACAATTATGTGGTACAGTGGAGGTAATCCAGCACTGAGGAAAAGTGGGGTGCTAGAGCAGGACAGCAGGATCTCCATGAATTCCAGGCTAGCTTGGGCTCAACAATGACATTCTGTCCCCTTCTCGGCCCCCAAAAGAGTATTCTTGTGGGCTGGGTATGATAGTGTACATACTAATGACAAAACTTAGAAGTGTCCGCTATAAGGATGGCAAGTTTAAGGTTAGGTTGCACTCCACAGGGACTTCTTGGCCACTCAGGTACATATCAAGTCTACACACAACAAATTCTCTTATCACCAATAGCCATCTCTGTTCTGATGCTCAATTTTATGATGGTGTCTGTTTACTCATTTTCATTTTGAAACTACTTTGCTTATAACATGCATATAATAATGAACTTTCTCTCTTAAGATTTTTTTTTCATATTTTAAAATCCAGATTTTTTTCTATGCATTTCACTGATTACTGAGTTACCTTAATGTCTAAAAAATATCAAAGACTATGATGCTTTACATAATGGAACAAAGAGCTAGGGAATTAACTCAGTAAAGTATCTGTTTCATAAGTACCTGAACCCACATTAAATAAGCCGGGTGTGGTGGCACCCACATATAAGCCCAGCATCAGGAACCAGAGATAAGCAGACTACTGGGGCTCCCTGGCCAGCCAGCAGTCTAGCCTGCATAGTAAAGTTGGTGGCTGGTTGTGAGATCCTGACTCAAAACAGCAAATAGCACAGAAGGAACAACATCTGATGTTGGATTATGGTTTCCACATAAATATACACATGTGCATGTACATAAGTGAACACACACACACACACACACCAAAGTGGAAATATCTATAGTTTTCACAAGTTTAATTTAAAGAAGCCAAAGTTAGTAACTTTAGGAATGGAATTACTGGCTAGATGAACTTTAAGGAGTATTATGTTAGGCCCATGGATTTATCAATACAAGTACTAGGTTCTCTAAAAACTTTTGAGATCTGTAGGAATATTTAACAACATAAAAAATGTCATTTCACAAAGAAATTGTGTGTCATTTTTGAAAACTGGTTTTTCAAAGATAAGCAAACTATTTCACCCCAAAGTAATTACATTTCTTTTATTAAATGTTAGTGGCTAGGGTGATAGCTCAGTGGTTAAGGCACCCACACAGCGGCTTACAACTGCCTGTAACTCTAGTTCCAGAGGATGCAATGCTCACTTCTGATTTCTGTAGGCACCAGGCATGCATTTGGTGCAAATACATACATGCAGGCAAAATACTCATACACACACAGAAAGCAAATCTTTAAAAATAATAGTCATGTGGCCTTTGTATTTGTTTAAATATGATGAATAGTTAAGAAAATGTTTGCTCTTGTTAAAGGACTTGGGAAGAACAAATACATTTTCAACAGTGCTTTTCCTGCAGATATTAGCATTCATGATTATATTGCAGCAATCAACAAACCATTCCCTTTGGAGAGCAGGGAATACTCAACCTGCTTCAATAACAAACATCCTAAAAATAAGAAATACATTTTGGCAAATACACACTCTTTTGTCTATCACAAAAACTTGAACAAATCAGAAACTGTCAATGTTGTGGCATATCCATCAACAACATGAAACAGTTAAAGCTGAATAACTAATGTGATCAAGAAACACATCACAAAACAGACAAGTACCACAGCACGTAAAGAAAGATACCAGCACAAAGCCCATGTAAGATGCCAAATTCATGTTTCTGCTTCAAAAGAATTTCCAGCTCAACAGCAAAGTCTAGACAACATATAATTACCCTGGTAAGCATGCTAACAGTTATTGTGGCTTTTTCTATCAAGTCTCCTGAATCTTGCAACTTGAGTATGGAGTAAATATTCATAATCCTCATTTTTTACTTCTAGAATATTCTCTTAATCATAAAAGTACTCATCCTTACCCCTTACATCATTTTTTTGTTTGTTTTTTTAAGACAGGGTGACGTACTTATATACTTTCCTATAGGTTATTTCTCCTTGTTCTAAAAACTAGACCCTGGCTCACTGACAGTTTTTCCAACAATATTTTTATCACAGTAGTTGCCAATTTCAATATTGATAAAGACAAATCTTTTTTTTAAAGATTTATTTATTAATTATGTATACAGTTTTCCCTGCATGTATGCTGCAGGCCAGAAGAGAGCACCAGATCTCATTACAGATGGTTGTGAGCCACCATATGGTTGCTGGGAATTGAACTCAGGACCTCTGGAAGAACAGTCAGTGCTCTTAACCTCTGAGCCATCTCTCCAGCCCCCAATCTATATCGATAAAGACAAATCTTATAACCATGACAATACTGTGTTCTCCTGGGGACCACCTAATCCATGGATTTATTATACTTTAACAGGTCTGCTGAAATAAAAACTCATATACCATACAACTCAGGCTTATAAGCAAACTCACAGGGTTGTGTAACCAACACTACAAAATTTAAGTGTTTTCCTACTTCCAAAATTAAATCTCACAATGATTAAGTGTGCTAAAATTAAACTGGATAAAGATAGGTGTGGTGGTGGCGTTTCCTCTGTGAAGGAACAACAAGCATGCCATTGTTTGGAGAAGTCACATTTTATGCACATACTCCCTCAGTTGCGGGGCGTTGGGATATTTTCATCTCATGGTTATTATAGAATACTGTGATGGACACTGTATACACACCTAGGAGGAACTACTGTGTCATTTGGAGCCTCTCCAGTACTAAGAAACCCTCACACTGTTTTCATCAAGCTCCACTATTTGGCAAACCTAGTAATGAAGTATGAAGTCCTATGCTATACAAATGTCATTACTGACACCTGTAATTGTCTTTTTTCTTTACATTTACTCTAGTAGGTGTGAGGTGGTATCTTAATGTCACCATGAAAAGCTTTCCCTAATGACTAATGGTTTTTAGCATATTTTCATGTGTTTACTGGCTACTTTATGCCTTCTATAGAGAAAAGTCTATTTAAATCCTTTAGCTATTTTCAAGACTTGTCACTATTGAGTTGTAAAAGTTCTTCATTGCATTGTCTTTAGGTTTTATTTTCACCTTCTTGATGATGATCTTCAGTGAATAAAATTTTTATTTCTGATATATTCCAACTACCTACTGTTGTTATTGTTTGTTTGGGGATGTTAGCTAAGAAAGATATGCCCAACCCAAAGTCATAACCATTTATACCTACATATCCTCCGGAGACTTTCCTGACCTCTTATGTTTAGGTCCAAGAATTATAGCATAGACCCAAGACTGATGAGAAAGATGAACATAGGCAACTTGAACCCTGGCTATCAGCTAACTACAATGCCTCAAAGAACCCATTATCTCAGAAAATTGAGATCATAAAGCAATTGTTAATTGATAAATCAAGAAGCTTTGGTAACAAATAAGTAGAACACAGTCCCCCTCTGCTTCACTGCTTTCTATCTTAGCACATAAGGACTTCTAACATATTCCATCTCTTATAAAGCTGTTCTTAATTATGGCCTGCCAACTCTAGCAGACTGTAAACCGCACGAAAACAGGTACTTTTGTCTGTTCAGTTTTCTAATCAACTGCAGTCTAAATCATAGCCTGGCATGTTTTATTGGTTTAACATTGCAATTTATTGAACACTGAAACACATACTCACCAAAAATAAATATAAATTGTACTTTTACTTCTTATTTAAGTTGCACATTCTATACAAGATGTACTACAACTAATTCTTATTTATAGATTCCCTGACTCTTCCCCTTCCCCTACCCCCAGGCAGGATGTCTTTGTGTATCCCTGACTGTCCTGAAACTGGCTCTGTAGACCAGGCTGGCCTGGAGCTCAGAGATCCTGTCTGTGCCCAGTGAATTCCCTGATTTTTTAAATTTACCTTTTTTAAAACTTCTTTGTAACCCTAAATTGGTACTCACATAATTCACATAGATTGCAGAACATTAAAGGTTGTCTGGTGTACACGATTTCAGCCCTAACCAGCATTCTGTTAGTCTCTTTAGTTTCTTTATTTCTATTGCCCCGCCCCCCGTTTTTACACCATTAGTGATTTAAGTCCTTGAGATAGCCCAGGTGTTATACTGAAGTGCTATGTAGTGCTCCTGAATGGGGTGAGGTGGGGTATTATGGCCTGTAGTGGTTTGAAATACCCTGTAAGGCATTTGGTAGCCATTTGGGAAGGATAAGGAAGAATGTCACTTGGGGGAAAGTACTTAAGATTTCAAAAGCCTCCAGACATTCCCAATACTTTCTTTTCTGTTTGTGAATGGGACTATGAGCTCTCAGCTACCACTCCATGGCCTTGCTGTCATGCTACGGCCACAATGGTGAGGAACTGTAAGATCCAGTTAAATAAATGCTTCCTTCTATAAGTTGCCTTGGTCATGGATTTTTTTTTTCATGACAACAGAAAAGTAACTAAGACATGTACTAAGACATGTAACATGTTATGTGCTAGATAAGTTGTGTA